TATTCGGAGAGAAATTTCTTAGTAAATTACGCATCGCTCCTTGTTTAGCGAACGCTGCTGACTATCTTTCCCTCTCCGTCTCACTCGCGATTACCGACTCGGCGAGGTCGGTAGGTTTTTACTTAAATGACCGTAACTTTTTTATTATGAAAAATTCACGGTAATGTTATAGACAATTCAACTCATGTATAAAAAATCGCATAAGCCGCAGTGAAATTGTCACTTTGACAGCGGAAAAAGTTACCTGCAACTTTTCCAGCGACAAATGCACTAGTGGTTTTTTCACTTATTCATTTTCGAACCAATAATCGCATTATCCTTACCCATATGACTAGTTTGACGTCTGTCAATAATTGATTAGTTTGGTGAATTTCTTGTTCGTTAAATTGTCCTGCCGAATTACACTCGAGGTTTGTATTTAAACCGAATAAATTTGGGTTGTGGCAATTCAAATCTGTTTCCTTTTAGCAATTGGACTCGAAAAACTATCAACCTAAAAATGCTCCACCTGCGGTGTCGCATTTTTATTAGTTGACAGTTTTTCTCGTCTAATTGCTAGGTAACAGATTTTCATTACCTAAACAACCCAAATTTACTCGGTAAAATACAAACCTCTTGTGCAATTATAAGTGAAAATAAAATAATCACAATGGTTTGGAGCATCGAATGAGCTATAAATATTGGAAATCGATATCGTGAAATAAAAAGTTATGAGAGTTCAAAGTGCGCACTTTTCATCTGCTACACGAATTTTGGAAGTTGACGGTCATTTTTCTAAAAACTGTGCATAACAAGGTAGGTAAATTGAATGCTTTAGATTCTGCTATAAATGTACTTTCATTTTACAAAAGGAATTATTGATGTATATCGCTTAGTTGCTGAGAAAATAAATACTTTCGGTGGTCTAGTCGCGCGCGCGAAAATGAGTAAATTTCAACTTTAGCGGCCTATAACTTTTGTCAGGACCACGGGAAAATGTCGTAAAGCGAGATTCTGAAGGTTCAAACATTTCTGAACAAAATGGTGTGGGTCCCAATTCTTTCTACTCCGAAAAAATTTTTTGAACGATTTCGCGGCTCTCTCCGCTGCACTATGTATTTTGGGTGGAATTCACCTATTAATGAACGAATCACTTGAAAGTATTAGTGATAAGATTATGGGCGCCTATAGTGATATCACAAGTTGCAGGAAGTGAAAGTGGGCCTAATTTCATCGAATTCCTATTAAATCATCTGATTATATGATGAATCAAATCAAATAAGATGCTTATTTTTCATTTAAGGAGTATTTCCTTAAATTACATTTGAGTGCGTCTCTTATTCTTATCGAGATTCTTGTTCATCGATTACAATATTTATTTTCAGTACAGGAGAGGAGTATTCCGTAGTACATTTTAATATAACATACCTCGATATACCCAATGCTTCATCTTTGATAGTGGAACTGATAGTCGAGGATAAATCACCTGTGAAAATCCATAGTTAGATCAAACTTTGATTGACTGGTTTCGGAAATATCCCTAAAATTGATCTTTTTACTTAAACGAGGGTCTTACACAGTGGAACGAATATTCTAGAAATTCCAATAGACATCGAGGTGCAATGAGAGTTTAGTAATCGGCGATAAGAAACTAAGACGGATGTGAAGCATTTTTTCCGGGAAAGATGACGTGTTTGTTCTACAATATTGTAGAGTGTTCGAGAACTTTCGAGAAAGACCGGCGTATACTATATAGGCAAATCTAATTGTGTGGCTCACTTCCGCAACGGTAAGAGATACAGTGTAGGTTAAATGGGGACAAGTTGCCCTTTTTTGTGGCTATAAAAACGCTATTGAAATTTTTGAAAAATCTTTAAAAATAACTGTGATATCACCAAAAATGCCAAATTTTGTTTTCATTTTCCCTAGCTTAAACGGTCGAAGATGGACGGTTCCCATTAGCACCTTCTATGGGCGCTGTTTTTCGAAAAATCTGCTACTGTTATCAGAATTTCCATAACACACTAAATGTAGAAGCTACAGACTACTACTTTCAATAATAAATTAAAAAAAGAACATAGGCATTGTATTTGAACTCGTATTTGAAAAACAACCCAGTTGCGGTTAAACTGGAAATGACACCGGAAGTTTAAATATGCGATTGGTTAGTTCGTAATGCCACACAAATTTTTCGTATCTCGCTAAATAAGAGATATTAAGATGACCCTCCTATCTCGAATGTACTGTATGAAGATTATACTTGAAGAGTCTCGTTACGGATTTGTAAAAAAAAGCGCGCTCGGGGGTTCGAACCCGCGTCAGAATAATCTATAGCGTCATACAATCACCGTTCTATTGATTGTCGCTTATACCGGTTTATACGGGTTTATACCTTGTAATAGCGACAAATTATTACATATAATTAACAATAATCTTAAACTTCGAAGGTATTAAACACGATTTAAATGTGTATATTGGTCATTTTCTAAAACACGACGACGATTTTAATGCTTTGAAAGAAAACGGTTTGCTTTAAAATGCAAAGATCGTGGTACAGAGACATGACACATAAAAAATCGCCGCCAATGGATAGCGATTACTGTTGGAAGAGAATCATGTTGGCCAATGCCTTAAGTCTGCCATTTTTGATCGCCTGGTATATTTCGCATAGGTATAGCTTTTGGGAAATTTCATTCGCATTTCCCGAGGCATTTCCTATAGGCTTCATTTTTCCAGTAAAGCTCAACGATTGGAATATTTCCTTAAATTTAGAATCTAGCAACGAATCTAGTGTATGTATCGCACGATTTCCTTAATAAAATGTGATTTTCCTTGCACTTGTGACATATTTTGCTATATAAAAGTAAGTACTAACAGTAAATGCTAATTCCAAATGCACATTTGGGAAATCTCCGGTTGATCCTCATAAACAGCATAATAGTACATAGTAAAATTTGGGAAAACATTATTTTTCAAACACATTCACAGAAAGATTGTTATTAATGTTCTCTCATTCTGTTCCAAAAGTTGGGGGTATGACAATATGTTTACCCTCGTGTTTACCTAAACTGATACAGTTAAAACAAGTTAAAAAGTAATCGTAAACGATTTACATAAAGCGCATTTCCACTTGCATTCATTTCCCATTTGTAAGATGCAACTTCTGTTAAAATCGTAAAAATACGGCCACAAATATGAAAGATAGCGTTGCACATGGGCAATCCATTGTTGACGTGCTACTTCAATTTCAGTTTATGAGAAGAATTTCATTTCAATGCTTTTCTAAATAAGAAAGTTGGAACTTCGCATGCGCAAACCTAAATTTTAAAACTAATGTTAGATTTTCCTTTGTTCCAAGCGCCTAAGTATCAAATTTCACTTAAATGGTGCCATAGATAAAAAAGTTGGCACTGCGCATGCGCAAAGCCAAATTTTGAAACTGGCGTTTGATTTTCCTTTATCCCAAGTGCCTATGTATCAAATTTCGTTTAAATTCTTCCATAAATAAAAAAAGTTGGCACTGCGCATGCGCAAAACCAAATTTTGAAATTGGCGTTTGATTTTCTTTTATCCCAAGTGCCTATGTATCAAATTTCGTTTAAATTCTTCCATAAACAAAAAAGTTGGCACTGCGCATGCGCAAAACCAAATTTTGAAATTGGCGTTTGATTTTCCTTTATTCCAAGTGCCTATGTATCAAATTTCATTCAAATACTTTTATAAGTAAACAAGTTTGCAATTCGGTTTATAAATGGTCGAGATGCGAAAAGGGCACTGTGATTTTTGAATCGATTCGATTCAACTTTTGGCATTGCGTATTATATGGCTAAATCTATGCCCATATTGAATTTCATGCAATTCAGTTCATAACTAACGGAGATGTAAAGGCGATCGAACATTTCTAAACAAAGTTATCGTTCACACGGACAGATAGATGGACAGACAGACAAAGGAACAGACGGAGAGACCAACCGGCAGGCGACAGATAGCAATGCAAAATTATAAACGATCTCTAGGATCGTTAATAAACGGCAAAAGTGTAAAATTATGGAACATGTAAAAAACGGTTTTTTGTTTTTTTTACAATAACTTTTTTTGTAAGCGGTACAGAAAAAATTCCTTCCTTGGTACAAGAATCGACACCATAACGAACCAAATAGCGAAAAAAGTAGAACAATAGCTCTTAAGATAAAGAACTAGTAGCGTCGCAAAGTTAGCGGACGGACGGACGGACGGACGGACAAAGTGGTCACAATAGCGCATTTTTTTTTATTTTTGTGGAAATGCGCTAAAAACATGCAATATGCTGATTTGCCTTTGATACAGTTGAAACAGAAGGAAATAGAAATCCATATCAAAGAGACCTCTGCACTTTTTGACTCCATTTTGACTCCATTCGAACGTCATAAGCAATCGCGATGTTACCTATGGCTGAGTGTGTAAAAGACACCCGGGGACCGATCTGAAGATTATTAAACGTGACCTGAAATTTCCACGGACTGCTCTCAATCAAAATTTTATTGCTCATACCTTATTTAATAAATATATGTTCTATAGCCAGAAGAGCATTTCCAACTTTCAGGACCATTAGAGAGAACAGTGGTACAAAATTTCATCAAAATCATTCGTAAAACACACGTTCTACCCTTCATGGGGGGGTATAAATTAGTTTTATCTTTCATGGTATTCTAATAAAAGGTCTCAACGAAAGGAGCCGTTTTCTACCGACTATCGCCCTTCTTTCTGACCCCTTATCAAAAGAGAGAGGGGTGGAACTGGTTTTATCCTTCCTAATGAAAGGTCTCAATGAAAGGAAATAATTTCTACCAACCTCCTCCTCGATTCCTTATCGTGATCCGATGTATTCCCTTATATCCCTAGAACGGATTGTCGAAAGAGGGTACTCGCAAAGGGCGATTGAGACGTCTAGAAAAAATATATCCATTCGTAATGAAAACGGTTTGACGAAAGAAAGTACTCTCAAAGGCAAAATGAATCGACTGGACGAGACATATCTATTGGTGAAGTCGACGCAAATACCTTGACAACAAAGAGGGTACTCAACAAAGGCAAATGGAACGTCAGGACGAGACATACCTATTGGCGATGTAAAAGCTTTTAGCGCAAATATCTGCAGAATGGAGTGTCGGAGGAGGTTAAAGGCGGTTAAAGAGCCTCATCCCCATTAATCATCTACCAAAAAGGTAAACATCGCTGCATGGTGCTACCTTATTGCCCAACCATTTATTAAGCTATTTCGGTTTAAAAAAAAGTCGTGCACAATTAATACTTGTTGAACTATAATTTTAATTTAGGCGTTAACAGAAATAAATCCCTTGACAACTTGATTACTAACTATAATTGGTGTGTTTCTATGTATTTAAGCCGTAATCACATCTGTTATAATGACACCGTCGTAGATTAATTTAGTAATAATCACGGAATTAAAAACTAAAAGTAAACACCTTATCTTATCTACCCGGAAAGCTGCAAGGATGTAGCATGAAATTTTTTTCTCAATATCTTCAAAATGTGGTTTCTACTTCTAATTGTGATCATCTTCCTGCTGTACCTAAATTCGAGGAAACCGAAAAATTTTCCTCCGGGTCCGGCATGGCTACCAATTATCGGTTGCGGTCTGGAACTGAACCGGTTACGCCAGAAGACCGGTTTCATGTCAAAGGCGACCGAGCTGCTCGCGGCGAAGTACGGGCCGGTGGTTGGGGCGCGAATTGGCGTCGATCGCGTAGTATTCATCTACGGGCACAAGGAGTACCGGGAGTTTTCGTCCAGGGAGGAGTTTAATGGTAGGCCCATCGGCGTTTTTTATACAAGTCGGACCTGGGGTAAGAGGAGGGGTGTTCTCTTTACTGACGGTGAGTCCTGGGAGGAGCAGAGGTCGTTCGTCGTGAAACATCTGAAGGAATTTGGAATGGGAAAGAAGAACATGTCGGACATGATTGAAGGAGAATGTCAAGCGATGATCAACGACATTGGAAAGAAGGTCGATGACTGTGGAGGGAAATGTGTTCTGCGAATGGACAACATCTTTGGTATTTACATACTAAATACCCTATGGACTATGATGAGCGCTAGAAAACATAGTCCATATGATAATCAATTAAAGCACCTGCAGGATTTAATAAGAGATCTAATCTATAACGTCCACATGGATGGTGCACTATTCAGCCATTTCCCAATTTTACGATATATCTGCCCTGGGTACTCCGGATACAGTACCTTTGTTAACGTCCATCGGCAGACCTTGGAGTTCCTTCGTGGGGAAGTAGAAGAGTGCAAGAAGGGTTTCGTTCCGTCAGATCACCGTAGTTTCATAGATGCCTACTTGGACAGACTAATATCCTCAGAGACCAAAACCAGTTTTTCCGAGGACCAACTGTTGGCTGTCTGCCTAGATATCTTTATGGCCGGAACTGAAACGTGTGCCAAGACTCTAGCCTTTGCTTTTCTCTATCTCACCCTCAAACCCGACATCCAAGCAAAAGCCCAGGAGGAAATTGACGCGGTCGTCGGCCCACACCGACTTCCAACCATAGAGGATCGGCCCCGGTAAGCACTACGTTTAATCTCAACGGTCAATAATGGCACGTTTCAGCTTAAAGTACGTGGAATCCGTGGCTTTGGAGTCGATGCGTGTGTTAGCTGGCCTAGCGCATTGCGTGCCACACAGAGCCCTAAAAGACACCCACCTAAACGGATACTTCATACCGAAGGTAGCCCGAATGTGGCCCAAAACCGTTCAAAAGATCGTCTTTTAGGACACAGTTATCATTGGAAATCTACGAGGTGTCGTAATGGACGAGAGTTGGCCAGACAAGGAAGCCTTCCAACCCGAGCGCTTCATTAAGGATGGTCGAGTCCAGATCCCGGAGAACTACATCCCTTTTGGTTTGGGTAAACGTAGATGTTTGGGGGAGGCTTTGGCGAAGGCGAACGTTTTCTTGTTCGTCGCCGGCCTTCTGCAACAATTCAAGTTTTCCATTGCGCCATATCAGCCTCCGACCGAGGAAATCATCGATGGATTGACCCCCGGTCCGAAACCGTTTGTTGCGTTGATTACTAGACGACAATAATCACTATTATGTGTTCCTGATGGTCATTTTAAAAAAGTATCAGGAGTACAGAAAGTTTAAGGTTTAATTACAATATCTTTTTAGTATTACATAGTAGTTACAATGATATAATTATGTTAAAGGATAGGAGGGGAAATATATGTTTAATCACACCCTTCGAAGTGTAATTGTATAACGGAGCATCCACTATTATGTTCTCCTGGCCTTGCTAGATTTTGAGATTCGCTAAATTCAAATAAAATGTTCTTTGCCAAAGCATATGTTATGTGTGAAAGTCATTAGGCAACTGCGACAACACGTCAGCGCGAAAGAGATGGGTGGCGGTTTTAGGTATTAAAAAGTTACCAGAAGAAGGACATCCAAACCGGAGACTAGCAACTAGCGTGCTTGGCAGACATTCAGGACAGGTCGTCCTAATTCGAACATTGTTCAAGACTCGTTAGGGGACTTCCCCTGAAGGTGAGTAAGGGAAAAGGGAGGGTAGTCACTGAGGTGCTCTTTAAAATCGCTGACGAGTCCATTGCCCAAGACGCCGGGCCTAATATCAAACATGGCCAAGCTGGCTGCCAGCCCTTTCCCGAACTCGGAGGTCGAACGGTACCAGAGCGGCTCCGTTATCTTCGGAGATGGCCTTTGTCGTTACCAGCCTCGATGAACCACTTACCAACGTCACTACCCACCCCGAACCACGAGTCTGTGTGACCGTCCCCCTATTCGCCACCTGGGGACGCCCGCGATGGGTGCTTCAACTGTACGGGAACGAGTAGGCTTTAGTTGAAGAACCCCAAGTGTGCAATTCATATGAAGAAATGGATTAAATCGAAAGATCCGGAATCGAAGACATCGACGCATTCCAAAAATCGTCAGTGTGTCAAAAATAAACATTAAAACAATCTTGGAAAACCGAAAGCTCGAAGGTATTCGAAGAAATGTAAGTATTTCAAAAGTCTGAAGAAGACAAAAGCGAAGCATCTGAAGAAAGGGCAAGAATTGAATAATCAGAAGAATCCAAATAACGTAAAAATAAAAAAGGCGTGAAAATTGCGCGGGTGGTCAAAAATCTGGTTTAAAAAAACTGGTTGGGACTGACTTTAAGGATCTGAAGAACTCAAAGAATTGGAATCTCTCAGGTGCACTACAGTACACCAAACATATGTCACTATCCTTATCTGCTGTAGTCCCGATCCAACGATATTTAGAGGCCAAGTTAGATCAGGAGAGCATGATAAGTAGAGATGCCCTCTCGCCTCTGTGACTCTGATTCAACGATTTTTAGATTAGAAACGTATTTTCAGACGTTTGTACTTCTGTCATCTTGATTCAATGGTTTTTAAAAGTAAAATTTATACTGAAAGTACGAAATAAGTAAGTGTCACCTTTTTTTGCTTCTGTGGTCCTGATTCGATCATTTCTTGAGCTACCTTAGAACTTTAGCAAGATCAAGAAAACATCCTACACAATTGCACGGTGAAGAGCTAAATTACACATTATGTTCTGTAACATATATCTGAAAGTACTATATTTCCAAAGAGATGTTACAAAGCTTAAACTTTCTGTGCTCCTGGTACTTGTTCAAAATGAGCATCAGAAACACATAATAGCCAAAGAGGTTCCCTTTAATGTGCTGAATAGTATCGCCTAGTGATCAACGCGACAAACTGTTTCGGAGCAGGCGCCAATCCATCGACGATTCCCTTAGTAGGGGACTCACCATCAGGAGCAATGGAAAAATAAAATTGTTGCAGGAGGCTAGCGACGAACAAGAAACCGTTCGTCTTCCCCAAGGTCTCCCCCAAACAAGTATTAATTGTGCACAACTTTTTCTTTAAACCGAAATAGCTTAATAAATGGTAGTACCATGCTATCGACCTTCTTGGTAGATGAGAAATGGGGAGGAGGTTCTTTAACCGCCTGTCATATATTCAAAATTCTCCGACACTCCAGTCTGTAGATATTTGAACTGAAAGCTTAGACATCGCCAATAGGTATGTCTCGTCCTGACGTTCCACTTGCCTTTCATGAGTACCCGCTTCATTGTCAAAGTATTTGCGTCGACTTCACCAATAGATATGTCTCATTCAGTCGATTCATTTTACCTTTGAGAGGACGTTCTTCCGACAAACCGTTTTCATTACCAATTTTTTCTAGACGTCTCAATCGCCATTTGCGAGTACCTCTTTCGACAATCGAAAAGTCATCTGTCATCTTGCTACTACAGGCACCCGGGAGAAGTGGGAGGGTGATCGGAATACCCTTCTATTGGCAAATTGCAAACAAACTTTTACTATGCCTTCTTTAATATACCCTCGACCTGGGCGTACACCTCGTTTTAAATCACCATGAGTCTTGGTCTCTAGATCGGTCGCCAGATGTCTCTTGCACACTCAGCCACACAAATTCGACCCGATGACAGACATCTTATTTGGTATGGTTCCTTTTTTCCTCTTTACCTTTCAACTGAATAGTCAATATCATTAATTTCGTAATTACGAAGTTGTAAACACCTTATCTTATCTACCCAAAAGGTTGACCTTGATGTCGCATTTTTAGTCGATATCTTTAAAATGTGGTTTATAGTTCTAATTGTGACCATCTGTCTGCTGTACCTAACTTCGAGGAAACCGAGAAACTTCCCTCCGGGTCCGGCATGGCTACCAATTATCGGTTGTGGTCTGGAACTGAACCGGTTGCGCCGAAAGACCGGTTCCATGTCGAAGTCGGCCGAGGTGCTCGCGGCGAAGTACGGGCCGGTGGTTGGGGCACGGGTTGGTGTCGATCGCGTAGTCTTCGTCTGCGGCCCAAAAGAGTACCGGGAGTTTTCGTCCAGGGAGGAGTTTAATGGTAGGCCTAACGGAATTTTTTATACAAGTCGGACCTGGGGTAAGAAGAGGGGGGTTCTATTTACTGACGGTGAGTTCTGGGAGGAGCAGAGGGCGTTTATCATGAAGCATCTGAAGGAATTTGGAATGGGAAAGAAGAGCATGTCCGACATGATTGAAGGGGAATGTCAAGCAATGCTCAACGACATTGGAAGAAAGATTGACGACGGTGGAGGGGAATGTGTTCTGCGGGTGGACAACATGTTTGGTGTTTACGTACTAAACACACTATGGACCTTGATGAGCTCTAGAAAACATAGTCCAGATGATAAGCAAGTAAAACACCTACAGCATTTAATAACAGATCTAATATCCAACGTCCACATGGATGGTGCACTATTCAGTCATTTCCCAATCTTACGATATATCTGCCCTCAGTACTCCGGGTACAGCAACTTTGTTAACATTCATCAGCAGACCTTGGAATTTGTTCGTGGGGAAGTAGAAGAGTGCAAGAAAAGTTTCGATTCGTCAGATCACCGTAGCCTGATAGATTCCTACTTGGACACACTAAGATCACCAGGTGCCAAAACCAGCTTCTCCGAAGACCAACTGTTGGCCATCAGCTTAGATCTCTTTATGGCCGGAACTGAAACGTCTGCCAAAGCTCTGGCTTTTGCTTTTCTCTATCTCACCCTAAACCCCGACATCCAAACAAAAGCCCAAGAAGAAATTGACGCAGTCGTAGGCCGGCACCGACTCCCAACCTTGGAGGATCGGCCACGGTAAGCACCACGGTCACTGTCAAGGGTCCACAAAGACAATCATTTTCAGCCTAAAGTACGTAGAGTGCGTGGTTTTGGAGTCGATCCGGATGTTTTCTGACCTCGGTCTTTCCTTACCACACAGAACCCTAAAAGACACGCACCTCAACGGATACTTCATACCGAAGGTAGCCCGCAAGTGACCCAAAACCGTTTACAAAATTGTCTTTTAGGACACAATTATCATTGGAAGTCTACGAGGTGTCCTAATGGACGAGAGTTCTGGATGGACAAACCGGGAAGCCTTCCAACCCGAGCGCTTCATTAAGAATGGTCGAGTCCAAATCCCAGAGAACTACATTCCCTTTGGTTTGGGCAAACGTAGATGTTTGGGGGAGAATTTGGCGAAGGCAAACGTTTTCTTGTTCGTCGCTGGTCTTCTTCAACAATTTAACTTTTCCATTGTGCCTGGTGAGCCCCCTACGGAGGAGATCGTCGATGGAATGGTTCCTGCTCCGAAACCGTTTGTCGCGTTGATTACTAGGCGATAATATGCACATTATCTCTTTGGCTATTATGTGGCCCTGATGCTCAATTTGAAAAGTAGCAGGAGTTTAGGCGTTGAAACAGCCTAAATGTCTTTTTACTTCACATAATTGTTTAAATGATATGTTACATGACAGAAGGATAAATATATGTTTAAGATCACTCTTGGCAGTGTAATTGTGTAACGGTTGGCCGTGGCCGTAACCCTTTACGATGGAGCAGCCGTTCCGGGCTACATCCTACTCATAGACGTGATATGTTCCAGCCTCATTAGGCGATCGCGGTGTCTCCCTTGATGCTATTTGGAACGTGGAAAGGGATACTCGTTTCCAATCACGTACGGCCTGTCCTGTTTGGGGCCTACCTACTTTTGATCGAGAAGTCCGATCGAAAAAGTACGAATTGTTTTGGATTCTACGCACCAAAATTAATAAGAAAAAGTGTTTTCCCGAGAAATTTTGGTGCAGTCGATTTTTGGTAAAAATTGGAAGGTCTGCCTTTTTTTGAGGCTTAAAAAAATTGTCTCAGATCGACTCGGAAAAAAAATTTTCTTCTAGAATGTGGCCTGTAGAATCCATAATTTCTAAGAGTTCCAAGATTGGGCCACTAGTTCAAAAGTTACAGCCCTTTGAATTTTCTTTCGGAATTGGTCTATAGCTTTTGATCGAGAAGTCTGATCGAAAAAGTACTGTAACGGAAACGCTCCAGACATGACGTCGCCTTTGGCGCTCTGGAATTTTCTACGCGCGCGATAGTGAGATTTGTGTAGGAATATTCGAGAATGTACGCGGATGTTCTGGACTTACATTGCTTGCGTGTATAAATGGTTGCGGACCGAACATGGCGGCAGTTTTACTACCGAACGAGATCGAGCGCGGAAATATAAATTGCGAAGTGTGTGATAAAGAATCGATATAAATTGTACGGTTTTTATAGTGTTTTAGCTTTGTTTAATAAATATTGATATAAATCGAACCCGAATTTATAAATAACGTTACATTGGTGTCAGAAGTGGGATTAATTA